CAGACCAAGTTCTAACGCAGCATCACAACACGACTTCAAACACTGTGGCCACTCAAGAATCAAGCCAAATTGGGAACTTGCACCCGGTCACCAATATTCCTACCACGCACCCGATGACCACCCAAACAAAAACTGGATCACTGAAACCTGTCCAACGGCTAAACTTACTGCATCAAGAACAACTACAGACCGAACCCACCACCTACAGCGAAGCAAGCAAGAAGATAGAATGGAGAAGTGCAATGGCCGAAGAGTTTTTTGCTCTACAAAAGCAGGGCACATGGAGTCTTGAACTGCCTCCTCCCACCAACTCTGTTCTTGGATCTAAATGGGCATACATAACAAAGTATAACTCGGACGGATCGATGGCTAGATTCAAAGCACGTCTTGTAGCTCAGGATAATCAACAGGAATACGGCATTGACTATCAGGACACATTCAGTCCGGTAGCCAAGCTGCCGACTATACGTATCCTTTTTACAATTGCTCTATTTTACAAGTGGCCAATTCATCAACTGGACGTAGCAAACGCGTTCTTGCACGGCGACATCAACGAAACGGTATACATGCGACAAACTAAAGGCTTCGAAGACTCGTACCACCCAAACTATGTCTGTAGACTACGGAAGGCAATCTACGGGTTACGCCAAGCACCTAAACAATGGTATACCACCTTCACAACTTATCTTCTGCAGGTCGGCTTCATCCACAGTCAGGCAGACCCATCACTTCTGCTCATGCATCGCGATCACATACAAATCTACCTCCTTGTATACGTGGACGACATTCTCATAACCAGCAACGACGTCAATGCCATGAAAGCTCTTGTAGATCAACTGAAATCAAAATTCACAATGAAAGATCTTGGGAAGGCAAACCAATTTCTTGGCATCAAAATCACGTCTACACCAGATACGTATTTTCTGTCCCAAACGTTATATGCTAAATCTATCATTCAAATGGCCGAGTTACAGAATTGCAACTCGGTCGCTAACCCTTCAGTAACCAAAATGCCAGTACTGGCGTCCGACGAGTCACCGTGCTTCGACGAGACGACCTATCGGAAAATTATTGGATCACTTCAATACCTTACCTTGACGCGTCCAGACATAGCATACGCGGTCAATGTTCTATCTCAACACATGCATAATCCGGCCACAACTCACACATTATTGCTAAAGAAGCTGCTGCGGTACATCAAAGGCTCAACAGATTTCGGTCTCCCCATCACAAGATCAAACCTGCGGCTTCGGACGTTCTCAGATGCCGACTGGGCATCAGATCCGGTAACTTGGAAATCGACATCTGGATTTTGCACTTTCCTCGACGACACTTTAGTCTCTTGGACAGTCAAAAAGCAAACCACAGTATCCAGATCGTCTACTGAATCTGAATACAGGGCACTGGCCTCGGCGACGGCGGACACGATCTGGATCCGACGCCTACTTGCCGATTTCCGAATCACACATTCCCAGCCCGTGGACATATTTTGCGACAATATGTCCACCATTGCTTTGGCGAACAATCCCGTCTTCCACGCACGAACAAAGCACATAGAAATTGATCAGCGCTTTGTCAGGGATCACATACAGAACAACATCATTCGGCTGTTACCCATCAGCACTATCGATCAACTAGCTGCCATTTTCTAACAAAACCTTTGGCTACACCAAGGTTCAAAATCTTAAGATCCAAACTGACAATTGGTCCCCAATCGTCAGTTTGCGGGGGAATGCAAGATCACTAATATATAAAATACGAAAATTATATAATTACATTACTGTATATTGCTAGCCAATCCCAACTATACACGTGTATCTCATCTCTCTGTATTTCGCTATATATATGTGGGTATCTGTAACATAGAGAGGTAACAAAGACTAATAAATTCTGTCTTTACTGTTTTTACATTTCCCTCTTCTTCTCTCTTCTAGTTCTTGAGTTTCTTCATGAGCAACAACAAAAATGCCATCGCCATCTGGTACCCAAGCAACACAAGTGCATCGACTGCAGACAGTAAAATTTAGGCTTAGTTTGGGACGGCTTTCTTTCTGCTTCTTAAAGCAACTTTTTAGTACAAAAGTTTTAATTTTTTAACTAAAAAGTAGCTTTAAGCATTAGAAAAAAAGCTGTTCCAAACGCAGCCTTATCCACAGGACAACTAGAAAAATAATGTGACGCTCAATATGAATGCAATATTAACTCAAGATGATGAGCAATAATACAAAATAAATTAATGCAAATATTTACTTTCCACATCCCATTCATGTGAACACACACTTCACACGATGAATGTGATGAATGCCTTGTTTAAATAAAATATAGCGCAAGGGTCATAAAAACAATGCAAAATGTGAAAATTTCGCTTAAACTTTCATCTAAACTGTCATGATTTAATGAAGCATGATGAATGCCTTTCACACACCTTGCAGTATTAGCCCAACATTAAATTTCAGGTACAATTCTCACTCAACAACAGAAGCGATCGTGTTGCACCTAAATCTATATCAATCAAGGAACTATAAAACTATAATTAGTTACACATCAAATTTCACAATCTCTAGCTAATCCCTTGCACAGTAATAATGGCAATTCTGGAACCCGAATTTCCATTTAGTTTTATTTGGTGGATTTAAGCTCTTCCCTGTCAAGCAATCCTATTAGAGTGAATAATTCAACTTCCAATCAAGTTTACAATCCAAAGAAGGAAACTTGATTACTGCAAGCAAAGAGCTTTCTCAGTCAAAATTGCACAATTCCCATACAGCATTGCATTGGAAAACAAAACTTCAGATGGTATCACAGAGAATCTAGCAAACGAAGTGCATAAATTAAATTGAGAATTGAGATCACTGATGAATAACGTGTCACCAGCATTAAAGATTAAGTAAGCCACTTTGCCATCATAATTGAAAGCTACAGGAGAACTGCTCGATCCTGCTCCGAAAGTCCCTCCGAACATGCTAGTGCCAGATGCTACCTTGCTCCCACCGTTTGTGGCACCATAAGAGAATGTCTTGCTCCCATTAACACCAACAAAAATTCGTTTCGTTGCCGATTTCACCACGCTGCTGGAGCTCGGTGTCGAAGGCGCGCTTGGCCCCTGGGAAGCTGACTTCTCCTTGAGATATGCGATGATTAACTATAAAAAACCATATTCGAAATCAGAACCTTCAAGATTACTAATAAGAGCACATAATCATAGCCCTAATCCCACCTGAGACACGGATTTTCCATGAGAGTAATGAAGAAGGCCAGCAGGGTGAGTTTTCTCGTACTGAAGCTTGTATCTGCCCTCGGGAGACTTGAAGTAAGTCTTGAGCGTCCGGCCACTGAACTTCTCAATCACTGTGCAGCCCAGCGACCAAACATCAGTGGACATCCCCTGCTCCTCCCCCCTCGCGGCCTCCAACGTTCCTCTGGCACATTCCGCGAAACCATCACGCTTGAGGCTGGTTCGCATTATTTCGCTAGAGAATTTCTAACCCGCTCAATTTGAGCGGGTTTTGATGTCCCGCGAAATGACTCCTCTAATACACTGCTAATGCCTAGGAGGATTCACATATGTTCCGCTCAAAATTTATCAAACAACTTAATTTAAGTAATGCATGTAATTATATTACTTTACCCTCCTAATTCTCCATACCAAACAGCCCCTAAGAGATCTAAAAGATGGAACTCACAAAGAGAACGCAAAAAGCAAATTTTCATTAACCATTCATCATCCCATTACATAAGAAAGGGCCTCTATATATAGGCCTAAGAAACTAAAACAAGACACATATGCCCCTAAGGCTGACATAGGACGACCCTCTTAAGTGAGGGTAAAAACGGAAAATTCATAATAAAAAATTTAAAAATTACAAATAAAATATAAGATAACGTGGGACGATGACAGCCGTTGATCTTCAGCTCCTCGGATAGCCATGGACGGTTGGATGTCCGAATCAGTTTTATTCATATATGTGACATTGTGATCTAAATATAAAATTGATTTTTGAGCCATATTATCAGGACAGTTTTTTTATATGCAATTACACTCTAATATGTCTTTTATAATTGCCTATAATTATTTACTATAATTGTATGGTTTTATTTCATGATTATTATCTCTCAAAGTATGAAAGTATGCATATTATGTATCACTCAATTTATTAGTATCTTAATCCTTATATTAAATATATGATTCTAAATTAGTTGGAAAAACTTGCTTGAACCAAGATTAGCTCATGGTGGTAACCTTGTAAACCAGCTTGGCTAAGAACCATTTTAGTTAATGGTGATAGTAAGCATGCAGATTATAGTTAATGATTCCTTACTTGTGTCTTGTCTGGTTATGGAATTTTGAACTTTACATTCTGTTTTGGTAGACAAAGGTACAAAAACAGCGTGGATGTCGAGATTTAAGTTTTGATTTGATTTCAATGGATATACATTCACACCATGAATGATAAATCACCTCGTATAGCTGTCTTTTTGTTAAAATTTTCAGGATTGGGTTAAAGGGTGTGAAAGCAAGGACATACTACAGAGGCATCTCCTACCCCAAAATATGTAAAAATAAAAAATAATTAGACCTATTTGAATGGAAACCAAAAAAAAAGACTGCCTCCATTGAGCTATCTTTTTTCACATCCAATCTTACTTTAGAACTTCTGATGATAATGAAAAACAGGGTAACTTTGGCTATCTGGGTAATTCTAAACAAAGAAATCACACAAACGAAGATAACATAAATGGAATAATAGAATCAATTTCTCTTTATTACCACAAAGTAGAAATCAATAAAAAGATAAAAAATATTGAACCTTTCTAACATCCTTACTGATCAATTAACAATATGATTTGGATAAATGGACCTAGTCTAATAGCAACAGCATTTACAGTAAAATGAATTACTGTACCAGTTTAAGCTAATAATTACAATAGAAATATGAATCACGATATCAAGATTGCCAGAAAGTTAGCAATGAATAAATGAGGCTAAGAAAATCAACTACCAAAAAGGTCAGAAGGCTCTGGGCACTATACTCGTGAAACGTTTTTGCACTAAATAAATTGCGAATTGCATCATCCTGCACAAAAGATATGTAAACTAACGTGAATATGAAAAAAGAAAAAAAAAACTGCACAGTAAAAAAAGTGTTCAGCGCTTGACGAAGGTTAAGCCCTTCTAAAAGAACCTGGGTATTGAAAAAAATGGTTGCCAGATCATTGTATTCTTTGTCTGTGCTGCAGAAAAACTGCTTGCAGCATAAGCAGCAGGAAAACATGAAACAAATAAGGGACAGATAATAACCTAATGTAAGGCTAAATATATTGTAAAGTTAGCAAGATCATCAATTTTAATGTGTCTTACATTTACAAAATTTCCATCTGTTCCAGGTGGTCGAGGGCAATCAATATCAGGATTAGCATCTGAATTAGGACATGGGCTGCATTTCCTTAGAAGTGGTAAACCAAAAGAAATTACTGATGTCATAAGAGATATAAGTAAAACTTCAATTATCTGTTACAATGCACAAAAAAAAGAAGTATGAGTTTTCCATCATCAGCTGTAAATTGACAGAAAGGAATTTGTAGCGAAGGACTGTAGCATACCTTGACCCTATTCCCCTTTTTATGAAGATAATTTCTGCGCCAGCTAGTTATATACAGAGTGAGCTGATTGAACAGAGCCCCTGAAAGGTAAGAAAATAAACACCAGTATGCGAAAATTTATGGCTAAAGTTGGTCAAAGTATAATATGATATCAATCAAGTAAAAAATTGATCAAAAATTCTGCACCTAAATGAATGCAATTTAAAAAAAAAATGATTAGGAAATGTGAATACCATGAAAGAAACATACCTAAAAGGCCTCCAATAATGCCGATAATAGCCATGGGTAGCAACTCCTTAAATGAATAATCTTCTTGACCACTTGACATTAAGAAAATATGAATTAGAATGTAGGCTTAGTTTGAAACTCAAAGAACAATATCTTGCAATATCACAAAGAGTACTAACCCAGATATATCCCAGATTATAAAGCCGCCCGACCCAAAATGACCACACTTCCCACTCTTACACCAGGCCATTGCAGTTCTTACAACAACAGCCACGATAGCAGATGTAAAAAAAACTCTCCACATAAGCTGACTCCGCCACCTTCAGGAATGAAATATACATGCAACCAGCAGATAAGAAGCAACAGCATTCAAATAAAGCTAACCAAAATATGTTTGACATAAACTGAAGAACAAAGAAGAGCTTTAAAACATGATTGATCACCATCATGGACCATGAATTGCATGGTTGATCCAGTAAACAACATAGGAGCAATGGTTAGAGATCTTAAGCTATCACTTTCATGCCTACAGAATCTTGATGTATGTTTTGCAGCAATAATTGCTAGTCTCACTCTGAAACACCATGCAATCTACGCCCTCTCCTTCCATGAAATGTGTACTTATGGATTCCCCTCCACAGTATAAAACATCTCTACCATTCTGTGAGTTTTATAGAATCTTTTCTCCCTGAGATTTTCGAACAAAGCCATGAGGAAACTTAGAGAGAGAGAGATGAAACAACTCTCCGAAATCAAAACTTCTCTTGCCATATCATTTGCATATGTCTGTTACAGTGATCTAAATCCCGTCAAGATCCTAGAAATCCTAGCTTAAGATTTCATATGAATAAGAGTAGAAGGGTAAAGTCACTCTCGTGGGAGGTATGGCAGAGTGGGATTGAGGAAGAGGAGTGGGCAATGAAAGGAATAGAGAAAATAATGGGGATTGAAGGGAGTGAAAAATAGTGTTAATTTTAATGTTGTTTAAAGGTTTAAGTGATAAATGAGTAAATCATAAGGACTAGGTGTTAAATGCATTAATAGAGAAGATTTAAGAGTCATACATGTAAACTCTCCTAAGGAATATTCACTGCATTAAGAGCATAAAAGATTGATATGCCAAGTTATGTCGATTGTATTTTATCTAGCTGCGTTTTAAGGATTAACCATTATTTAACAAAGGCATAAGTTAAAATTCAACTAGAAAAAAATATGTCAACATCAAATAAAAAAGAGTATATCCTTTAACCAGTATTCTTCAAAATTCAGTTAAGCAAATCTGAAATGATACAGTAAGAATGTATACACCTGAATTGTTTGGCAGAAGGGTTGGATGTCCTTCTTTCAAGCATTTATAAGAAATGAAAAGTCATTAGTTTGAAACATATGTTGCTGCATGCCAAGTGCACAAAAAAAACATCTTAAACACCAAGTTCTGAGGATTAGTTTCATGGAAACATATTAATGGTTTTAAGATATTAAATTCCTCTTAGCGAAATGATGTTCGAGAATTCCAGATCATTTAAGGAAATTGAGTTCTTGTCGTAGGATAAGTATCAATGTATTAGAAGATTATGGAGAAAAGAAGAAGAAAAGGCTTAACTGTGGCAAATTATGAAAATGATGCGAAGATTAGGCGTTCCCTTTGAGCATCCAAGACCAAAACCAGTAAAATACATGGATTGCAAAAGATAAGATGTAAACTAACTCAATAAAATATTTGCTGGAATAACCGAAGGCAACGGATAGGTTAATAACGCTTAACTTGCAGCATGAGGGCAAAGATAACATAAAAATGGTGAGAACAGTCAAAATGAAAGAAAAGGGCTGATACTGTTAAATGGCCAACAATCTTAAGAGCATGAGTTAAATCAAATTAAGCCAACTGTTGCTGAGGCTTCCTGTAGCATAACATACAGTCAAAAGAAATCATGCATACCAAGATGTAACTTCTTCTAGAGCAAAGAGCACACCACCAACTGGAGCTCTAAAAGCAGCAGCAACCCCAGCTGCACATCCACAGGTCACCTTTCAAACAGCCAAAAAAAAGAAACAAAAGTTGTACCGATTCAGAATATACCCGAGCATCTCATCAAAAGGATAATCTGGATTGATATCTGTTAAATTGCAATGCAACCACCAAGCATTCAAAAGCATGATATTCAAAGACCAAGGGAGGAATTTGAAAGATTATACTTGTATTAGACATTACAGCATCGAGCAATGTGAAACTTTATTACTAGACATTACAGCAACGAGCAACGTGTAGCAACACCTAAATTCAATGAAGCATTCAGTTTAAGAACTTTATCAGTCCCTTTATTTTGATTAAGATAAATTAAATCATACCAGAAAGAAAGAGAGACAATGGGCAAGTTAATGATAATATGATAAAAACAAAGTTTACCAAGAACAAGTTAATAAAACCAAACTGCAAGTGTCCAACGCGTGATGCACTTGTCTCTCAAAAGCCTTGGACAATCATTTCTGAACAGAATAAAATGACAACCCACTTTAATTTTTGTTCCCCCAATCTCATTATTGCCATATTGACCATCCAAGAGAAACCATGCGATTGGGAATGATATTGCCAAACAAATTTTTATTTGCATCAAGGTAGTCTTGATGTGGTCGCCATAACAAGATCAAGTATAAAAACATAAGTAATGCCTGAAAGTTCAAAAAATGATATCCTTTAGTTTATAATGCACAAATAGATTTATTTTTCTACAAGCTTTTTATCAATGTCGTCAATAGCTGAGCTAGTGATAGCAGATACAGCATCCATATGCTGCTAGAGAATATGGATTATCTTCCATGGCCTTCTTCATCTGCTCATATCTGAGCACCTAGTCTAATGTGCACAATTAAGTTAAAAGGTCAATATTTTAGCAAAAGCAATCATTGAGAAGCCTTTGAAAGAACTTATAAGGTAATTAAGTTTCCATTTACAGCATACCATCTAACGAGATGATTATGTCAAAGTTTCTGACGAGATGAATCAGCTAATAATATTACAATACAATAACTCTCAAGAATACATCCCAATTAAACCCACGGAGAACACAAGTGCTCTAAATATTACTTCCCATCAAACCCATATAAAGAAGTGCTGATTCGACCTTGCATTTGATGCACTCGTGAGCTTGACTTTTGCACACACAAATGCATTAAACAGACATAAAGCCACTGTATCATGAATCAATTGGGTAAAAGTCAAATATCTTCTCTTAATGCTCGAAAGAAAAATTAAAGTAAAAAAAAGGCTAACTTATGACATATGGTTTTTACTGATAAACAGTAAATTGTGCCAGCTTCTTTAGTCCTTGGTAGAGCACCCAAGATCTAATCGCATAGGCTAGCCTCATTTTGGTAAAATTGTAGTAGAATGCTGTTTCATTTTGTGGTTTCAACCTTATGTATAAGCTCTTAGACCTCCCAGAAGCAGTCCAAAAAGGTTTGTATGCACATAAACTAAATCTTCAACCCGTTGTAAAGTAATTTTATATCTTTCCTCTCACAACAAGAGGAGGATGAAACTTGACCAAAAAGTTTTATGGCAATTGTTTAAAGTAGAGGTGTCGAAGCTTCATGAATCAACCACCACATCTTTAGAACTATTCTCCACCTATCACGCAAAGATTCTTGATCACCAAAGCCCTCTAAATAGCAAAGAATTTAACAAGTTCTATATTAATCATTAGTCTCTCTATATTTCTCATTCGTCTCTCCTCATATGTGTAAGAAGGTTTGTATGCACATAATCAAGAACACTCCACACAAAATAACGCCAATATTAAATCCTTCATATATATACTACTATTAAAAAAGTGCAAGACACGTAGCACTCCACATGCTAAACTTGTCAATTTAACGTCCAGTAATTTGCAACCTTGCCTGTACACACACACACATACACATACACACACACACACACATATATATGTATATATACATATATATAAAAGTTTAAGTCCTAAATTATAACTATTTAGTTTATAATTTTAATACAATAACAACATAAAGCCTTTATCCCACTACGTGGGATCGGCAACATGAATCTTTTTTCTCCATTGTATCCTATTAAGAATCAAATTCTCATTCAAATCTAATAAGAAGTCATTTCTAATATTTTCTAATCAAGTCTTTTTAGGTCTACCTCTACCTTTCTTAACACAGGCCATATCTAATACTTATATTTTCCTAACAAGATCATCAAAAGGTAGATGTTTCATGTGACCAAACGATCTAAGACAACTCTCTGTAATATTATCTCCCATTGGAGCAACTCCAACCATTTCACGTATATACTCATTATGCGTTGTCTCTAAGAGTAAAGCCACTCATCCACCTGAGCATCCTCATCTCTGCAACACTTAACTTAATTTTATGCTTCTCTTTTAATAGCAAACATTTTGCACAATAAAACATTGCATTTCTCACCACCATCCTATAGAATTTTCCCTTAAGTTTGAGGGATATGTTTCTATCACACAACACGCCCGATGCATTCTTCCACTTTAACCATTACTTGATTCTACTAATAATATTCCCATCTATTTCACCATCATTTTGAATAATAAACTCGAGATATCTAAAACAAGCACTTTTTTTAATAACTTAATCGCCTAAAGTCATGATCCCCTTAGTGAATATATTACTACTAAAATTACACTATATGTATTAAATTTTAAATCTATTCAAACAAAAATCTTTACTCTAAGGTTGGCCTCCATAATTCAAGTTTTCCTTCAACTCCCTCTCTTGTCTTATCAACAAGAAGAATATCATTAGCAAAAAGCATACACTAGGGT